AATATTTATGAAGATTGACTCCAGACAAATCTTATATGTTGAGTAGAAAAACCGGAGGGAGTATTTGCACTCATCAGGCGCATCTAATTAACTACATTTAACCTGGAGGATGGACATCTAAAAAAATACGAGTCGCCTTTTGCTTGTTAGTTTTGCTTTATAAGAACACGATCTGTCAAAAATACACCTTGGAACGTGGTGCACATGTACCCGAACATAGGTTGTACTTGCAATTTTTATCTTTTTTGCCAACAATTTCACATAAGTCATTTTGTCTTAAAACTTGCACGTGAGTAACACAGCTGACAATGCTTGTTCTGTTTTTTTTACTGTACTAGGACAATGTCCGTGTGTTGCTACAGGAAAACATAATTTTACGACATCACTTATTGTGTGAATGTGATTTTTTTTGTCAAGAGGTTGGCGACTGTGAAACAAAATTCTCTCTTATGCTCCATTATCATCCATGAGCTTTGTTCTAGTTCAGACGACTCCCTGGAAAAGTCCACGTTGCCTCATGCCGCATATTATCACATCTAGTAGTGCCCAGTTCGGCATTCTAATTCATAATTCGAGTTCAATATGATTCAACAGAAGCTAATTAAAAGAAAATGTCATGTTCAACCCATATGAACTACAAAATACAATTTGGACACAAAATATAGAAACAAATTAATATTGATCTACAAATTGACATATCTTCCCTCCAGGAGGGAATCCCCAGCTGTGATAATAAAATCATAGAGGCAGCTGATGCGTTCCTATGTGCCAATTTTAGAGCCATAAGCGCCCCTTCTAATAAATGTGAATGAAAGAGAAAATGGTTGATTATTTCTTACCTACGTTGCTACGGATGACAATTCTAGCAGATGAATCAAACAATGATCAAGTGAAATGGATAAAGTTAATGAAACCTTTAAGAGTGAAAACTATGATATAACCCTTGATATTTGTCTTTCCAGGTTGGTGTAGGTCGGACACACATTGTCCAGGAGCACCACGAGGGTGGTTTGCTCGATCAGCAAGTGCTTCAAGAGCTCGCTGTTGTAAAGCTTGAGCATGGCTGTGGAAATCTGCAGTAGGAAATGATTTCAGCAACATGATCTATCTGCAACAGCCGTAACAGTACCTATGATTGTGGTTAGATCTTTAATTTCGTGCCATAGTTACTGATAGTGAGCCATACTTTGTAACCCGTAGAAGTACCACTTGAAGCCGATTGCATAAAATCCAGGACTGGGTGTTGTAAAGTACAACTTTGTCGTTGGCAGAAGCAAAGCCACATGTCAGTATATATGTATTCTTCAGATTCAGATTTCGCAAATACTATCAATCTTTTGAGATTTGATCATGCAAATAGTATCCAGATGCGTACTAAAACTAAAAAAAGATCCTGAAATCATCTGACAAAAATCCCTAAGCATTACATCTTTTCATGATCCGCAATTCAAGATCATCCACGAAACAAACTCTTCTAAAGGATAAGAATTCTATAAAACCAAAACATCATATTTCTCATAGATCTGAAAGAAGAAAAAGAAAAGACCAATAAGTGCAGAATGGAACGAGAGAATAAGATCACTTGGACATGATGCCATTGAGCGTGTAGTTGCTCATCTCTGGCTCGACCGCCTTTCTTATTATTGTGGTGTGGCGCTCCATCTTCACCGTACCGGTCCTGCTGCGCAAGCCATCCGCGATCCAGCACCACCCCGCCGCCACTGCACGTGCTCCATCAACACCTTGTTCTTCTCATGCAATCTCTTGGTCGCTTGTCATGCAAAAATAGCATCGCGTTCTCCTCGAGCAGCACGCTCAATGGTGGCTTTTCCTGATCATACCCATGATCTATGTCCCCGCTGCCATGTGATCTTCGACGACATTGACACAACTCTAGTGGTCCTCATGGTGCACCGAGCGCGCACGAGGCGACTCGCCAGCACGTCCATGGCCTTATTTGTGCGGTAGTCCTGCAAGGTGTCATGTGGATGTCGTGGGCAGAGGTGGCCATGTATGCGTCGAGTCCTGCGGGTCGGCGTTTGGAGAGATGTGGCGGAGGGCGACGTCGGCGGCTCTGGGGCCATGATCCCCGCGCGCCGCGCTTGGCGAGGTTGAGCTGCGCGTGAGGCTGAGTCCTCGAGTGTTGTAAGGGCTGAGGCATTAGACTTTTTGCGAGATTAAAGGGGCGAGGGGATTCCGATCAGATCACGTGAAATGCAAAATCGGCAGGGTTGAGTGGATTGCGAGATTAAAGGGTTGAGAGGACCGCGAGAATAAAGGGGTGAGAGGATTGCGAGATCAATTTTTGGCCTTGGGAGGAAAGTGATCAGTATTTGCTGGGTTTTTTTTATCGTCATTGATTAGCTTGCCAAATCATGTGAAATAGGAAATCGGGAAGGTGGAACGTACGTAAGGAGGGGTGGAAGAAAAGGTTGGGCGAAAGATTTGACGTAAGAGGGGAGAGGGAACCTTACATTTCTTTTAGATAGTAGAGATTGATTAGCTTGCCAAATCATGTGAAATAGGAAATCGGGAAGGTGGAGCGTACATAAGGAGGGGTGGAAGAAAAGGTTGGACGAAAGATTTGACGTAAGAGGGGAGAGGGAACCTTATGTTTCTTTTAGATAGTAGAGATTTAAATTGTGTTTTTGCCTAACCGGGAGTCCCAGCTTCCCAAAATCCACACCGCATCAGGAGCTTGCTAGTGATGAAGCCTCAAACCATCAGGAGCTTTCTTCAAGCTCTTCTCCGGATGGTACGAGAGCAGTTTGGAATCACATATGGAAAAGCTTGGTGCCCCCAAAAGTTCAGAGCTTCGCATGGAGATTAGCTACTGATTCTTTAGTGAACTGGACAAACAAAGTTAAACGCAAGCTGGAAGTGTCGCCTTTATGCCCAGTGTGCGGCAGGGAAGATGAGGATTCGTTCCATGTCTTCTGCTCCTGCAATCATGCAGTGATCCTATGGAAATTGATGGCAAAGGTGTGGAACCTCCCTTCCAGGACCATGCTAAAACATGTGGGGCTTGAGTGGTTCATCCATATTTTAGCTGAAACAAATGAGGAAGGCAGAGCTTTTGTGATGATGCTGTTTTGGAGGATTTGGTTTGTTCGAAACGCGTTGGTGCACCATAAGGCCTTGTACAATGCAAGGTGCTTAGAAGAGATGCTTGGAGAAATAAACCAAGCTTTCCTTAAGCACCGGTGTTTATTTGTACATGAAAAACGCTTAATTAGGCGTCTCTCCTGTAGAAATAGACACCGGTGCTTCAGAAAAAGCCGGTTTATTTCTCTAAGCACCTCCCTAAGCACCTAGCATTGTACAAGGCCTAAAAGGCCACCACCAATGGAAGTATCTGTTCGTTTCCTGTCCAGTTACCTTTCTTCATTATATGCAATCAATACCAACCCTAGTGACGATCCGATCAAAGGCAAGGCGATACTGGATTCAGTCCTTGAAAAGAGCCATAAAAGACTCCAGACAGATGTGATTGCAGATGCACTATGGGTGAAGCCGGGTTTTGGCCGGGTGAAATTAAATGCGGATGCCTCAGTGCTGGGAGAGGAGGCAGGATGTGGAATGATATTGAGGGACCATGAGGGGTCTATAATCTTCATCTCTTGTAGACATATATATGGGTGTAATGATGTTCTTGAAGCTGAACTGCTGGCTCTGAGAGAGGGGATATCTCTGGCAATTCAATGGAGCATGCTGCCTCTAGATATAGAATCATATTGTCTACAAGCAGTCCAGATGATAGTTGGAGGCTCTAGCAACAAGTCCAAGTATGTGTTCATCGTGAAGGAGATCATCAGTACTATGGAAGAAAGAAGCTCTTGCATTACTCATTCTCGTCGATGCTGTAATTTGGCTAGTCATTCCTTGGCTAATTTTGGAAGAACACAACACCGAACGGTGGTTTGGCTTGGCTCTGGTCCGGAAGTAGTGTGAGATATTGTAGAACGAGAATGTAATCCTGTAAACTGTGCTGAGTAATGCAAGTTCTTTTGTTCCGCAAAAAAAAAAATCCACACCGCATGATTCGTTACCTATATGTTTTCTCCAATCATCAAGGTTGGGGAAAATTTGGTGCACCGGTGCTTGTGGTGCTACCAGTGCACCGGACCTCCGTAACACATTTTAAGATGTTCTAAAAAGTGTGAAAAAATGAGCTCATTCATGTGTCATCAATGTTTGTTGTCAAGGACATAGTGGTGTTTCCTTGCAGACCGGGGTTCAACTCCCGCCGGGAGCGAGTTTCCGTGGTCTCACCCGGGTGGGCTTTTTCTATAAAAATATGTCCTGGGCGCTAGTGCCCACGGATCTCATTTTGTTGTTGCAAAATTTTAAACATTGCACGAGGTACAAAGATAACAAATTTAACACCGTATAGTATGCATCATAAGTTGGGCTTTAGATTTGACCCATTATCACACTAATGTCAGATTTATCATTTTTGTATCTCAAATAATATTTGATTTAAAATTTTGCGACAACAAACATTAATATTTTGTGAATGTGCTCAATTTTTTATGTATATTTTTTGGAACATTTCGAAATGTGCCCACAAGCACTGGTGCACTGGATACGATCCGAGGTCGATCTACCGGGTCAGCAGGCACAGACGAGATGTACTCAACTCCAGCGATTATCTTGCACCGGAACATATGACGACTCTAATCGCATACACCTGGTCCCATAGACCCAATCACGTGCATGCATGCAGAGCGTGCATGGCTGCATCCGTCCCAATCTCCGGTGAGCAAAAAAGAGAAAAAGGCAAACAAAAAAAGTAGGAAGAGATCACAGCACCACAAGCGCAGTAGCAGCAGTAGCAGCTAGTGCTTGACGGGCTTCTCCATGTCTCCGCGCCAGTCCAAGCCGGTTCACATGCATTTGTTCTCTTCCATTGTAGCCTCTGCCTCTAGCCTCCCTCCCCTCTCCCCCAACCTCATCCCCATTGCTTGCTAGCCAGCAAGCTACCTGATCTCGTGGCGGCAATGGCGAGGAACTGCAGAGCTCCCGCCGCAGCGTTCATGGCGCCGCTGCTGCTGGCGGCGGCGGTGGTGGTGTCGTTCTTGGGCGGCGGGGCGGATGCCAGGAAGTCGAGCAACATCACGGTGGTCGGCTCCGTCTACTGCGACGCCTGCTCCAACAACACCTTCTCCAAGCACAGCTTCTTCCTCAAAGGTGAGAGTGAAACACACGGCATGCTCTTTCCGGTTACCATTCCTTTTCAACGCCGTCTTGATCTGCATTGCACATTTGCACTCCGTGGTGTAGTTTGCTCTGGAACGCAGTGTGTGCTTGTTGCTTAATCAGGCGTGCACTTCTACATTGACTGGCTCCTGCTTTGCTGCATTTCTTCTGCAGCAGATTTGTCAATCACAAGGGTGCGAATCTCTTGCTCAATGCAGAGAGCTACGTTGCCTATTTGTTGTACCCTTTTATTGGTTTTTATTAATTTGCTGGGAATTGATAAGTAGGCGCAACAAGTTGCTTTGGCGTAAAAGTGCATTTTTCACTCAAGTCTGAACTCACTGAGGAGACTCGGCTAAAGAGCAAAAGAAAGATATGAACTGAGTAGATATTGAGCACACTTTTAACCTGCATTGTACTTACACGTTTACTGGAGGAAGTAGTTCTTGGCTGCATGTTGTTAACAGATTTGTTAATTACAAGGGTTGCGAATCAAGTGGCACATGCATGTCACCAAAAATGTTCATAGGTCCCCATTGTATTTCGGGATAAATTTTGACCATAGATTGAACTAACAAAATATTCATACATGTCACCAAAAATTATATTATTGAAAAGTATGTTCAAATACGAATCCAACGACATGCATTAACATTTTGTTAGTTAAATTTTTGGTCAAATTTTGACACAAACTACAAGGGGACCTATAAACCAGGACGGAGGTAGTACTATCTTAAAAGAAATACTAGCTCTGTAAGCTTTTATAAGACGGTTTAGATTTGTGATCTAAAATCGGAAACGTATTATAAAAGTTTACAGAGGGAGCAGTAACTATTTTGTACTCTCACCTCTTTCTTAGAGTTTTACTGAGCAGTTCTTAAGAAAAATAATACTACTGAACATGCCCGGTTGCTTCAGAGTTTTAGTAGTCCTCTGCCTGCGGTGTCGTTCTACTCTCAACTCTGACCATGTATTGGCACTAGAATGTTACGAGTGATATGAATCCAAGAGGCATTAGGCATACTGTTTTGACTGGACAGAATAACAATCCAGAGCTCAAAAACGATGATCAGCACAGGCATTTGCATGCCTGTGGTCTGAACAATGTTGCCCCTGCTCATGCTCTTGCTCTGCCACTCTGAGTTGCTACCTAAACTTTTACTGTAGGTGGGTTCAATCGTTTGCAATGAGCTCTGAACCAGATTAACCGTGTGAATTGCAGTGTTTTCTGTTTTCTGTTTTTCTCGTCAACAGAAGAGCTCAGGCTCTGAATTTATCCAGCACTAACAGTAGCAGGTGCTGTACGTGGTCTGATGTCAATGTGATGCAGGGGCTCGGGTGCTGATCCAGTGCAACTTCAAGGTGAACTCCAGCGCGGCGCCGGAGGAGATCTCGCTGGAGGCGGAGCGCACCACGGACCAGCACGGCGTGTACAAGTTGGACGTGCCCCCCGTGGACGGCTTCGAGTGCCGGGAGGGCCACGAGCTCCGGTCGGCGTGCCGCGCCACGCTCGTCCGGAGCTCATCGGCCGCCTGCAACGTCCCGGGCCTCCGCGGCTCCACGCAGCACATCGCGCTCCGGGGCCCCCGCGGCGCCGCCGCCTGCTTCCTCAACCTCAACGCGCTCAACTTCCGCCCCGCCAAGCGGGACCGTAAGCTCTGCCACGGCGGCGGCAGCAATGCGTTCGGGTCGTCGCTCTTCTTCTGGCCGTTCCTGCCGCTCTTCTGGCCGCCGCCGCTCGGGCTCCCGTCGCCCGCCGCGCCGGGAGCCGCCGGAGGGACGGTGTCGTTCCCGTGGCCGTTCCACGTGCCGGAGTGGCTGGTGCCGTTCCTGCGCCCGCCCTTCCTGCCTTTCCCGCTCTACCAGCCGGCGCCGGTGTCATCAACGGCGCCGCCCCCGTTCGAACGTTTCCCGCCACCACAACGAACGGCTGCTCGGCCGTAAACCCGCCGGCCGGTTTCAGAACCTCAGGACAAGCGTGACAAGACACGGGATTTCAGCCTTCTTGGGAAGATCAATGTTAGATTTTTCATTTCTTGCTTGACTGCTTGTCATGCATGCTAGGTGTTCGTTGCCATTGTCCATTGGCATGCTGTTCGTTGACCTGATGAATGAATTCATGTGGTACTAATTCGTAGTCATGGTCACTATTAGCCTTCTCGATTTTCTTTTCAGTTGCCCAATTGCATGTGGCACGATGGGATACGTGCACACATGTCTGTAACCGATTGCTGGAGATAGAGCTGATCAGAATCGCTGCTTTGTCGCTTCTGTCGGCTCCTAGCAACACAGCCGCTAGTAGGATTTTGTCAAGCACGCTGCAAGCTCAAACTTTTTCTTCTGCAAACAAAGGCCAGCTTTGCGTGTATCTTTTAGCATGATCCAAGTAGATATTTTTCAGATGAAAACTGAATCTGTGGATACTCCTACTCCCTCCGTCCGAAAATACTTGTCATCAAAATGGATAAAAAGGGATGTATCTAGAACTAAAATACGTCTAGATACATCTTCTTTTATTCATTTTGATGACAAGTATATCTGGACGGAGGGAGTACAAAGGAAGACAGCACGAAGAGACGACTTGGGGTCAGTCAGTTTCATGTCGACATTAGCTCCCTGAATATCTCCTCGTTGGCCAAGAAAATTCATTCTCTAAGATCACTCCCATGTAATCTTTTGTGATGTGTTTGTTGGTATCCGATGAATTGTGGGTTTATGATCAGATTATCTATTGAATTTATATGAGTTTCTTGAGCCTTCTTTGATGCGTAATTTTATAGTTTTGTATTTTTTTCGATCTATCCGTCTACTTTGGCCAAGTTAGATTGATTTTTCTTCATGGGAGTAGTGCTTTGTGGTAGATTCAATTTTGCGGTGATCCTGTCCAGCGCAGAAAGGATAAGGGCACGTATTGTATTGTTGCTATTAAAATTAAAACGATGGGGTTCTGTCATATTGATTGATCTTATTCTGTGTACATTGTGTCATCTTGCGTAATGTGTTACTCTTTTTGTATGAACTTGATACTTTGAGATGCATGCTGGATAGCGGTCTTGGGTGGAGTAATAGTAGTAGGTGCAGTTGAATAACAGTTTACTTGTCACAGACGTAATGCATGTGTATTGATTATGCCATGGATGATCATCATAAATATGCGCAACTCTGTCAATTGGCCAATAGTAAATTGTTTACCCATCGCTACATTGCTTTCGAGAGAGATGCCACTAGTGAACCTATGGCCTTCGTGTCCATTCTCAATTAATTTGCAAGCTTTTACCTTTGACACTTATTTGCTATCATTATCGCTATTTTCTTTTAACCTTGTAACTAACAAGAACAAGGGTAGCGACGACCCCCTTGCCTTTGTTGGGTGCAAGCAATTATTTTGTTTGTTTGCAGGTGCTGCTAAAGTTGTTTGTGTGTTGTCTTCTACTGGTTCGCTAAATCTTGATTCTTAACTAAGAGAAATACTATATGCTATTATATTGCATCACCCTTCTTCTTCTTCGGGGAAATCCAACAACTCCAGCACGAATAGCAATTACCCTTAAAGAAGAAATAAAATAAAATTAAAGATAAATTTTTTAAAATAAGGAAGTTTTATAAGGAAGAATGATTCAGTGGCATACCCTAAAAAGAAAGAAAATGAAAAAAAAGGTTATAAGAAAGATTGAATTAGTAACATTGGCACTACACTTGAAAAAGAAAAAGAAAAAGAAAAATAAACTAAACAAAATAAAAGCAGGACAATGTATGCCCACGGTGCAATGCACGGACAATTAGATAGTAAGTATATAATAGTGCAATTTTCACAAAAAGATGTTCCCTAAAAGGGACTTAATTAGTGACATTTGTATTACGAATAAAGAAGAAAGACAATGAAATAAAATAACAATTCAATATACTAAAGTTTTCTAAGAAAAATGAATTAGTGACTTTGGTATTAACCTTTAAGCATAAAGAAAATGAAATAAAAACAATATTTTAAAAAAATATGAGGTTTTATAAGGAAAAATGAATTAGTGGAATTGATATTAACCTTTGTTAAAAAAATAATATGAAATAATTACTAAAATAAAATAAAATATGAGATTTTCTATGAAAAGATGAATTAGTGGCATTGGTATTACCTTTTAAAGAAGAAAGAAAATGAATTAAAACTAAAAAATCCAAATAATAAAGTTTTTCTAAGAAAGAATGAACTTGAGCTTTGGTATTACCCTTGAAGAAGAAACAAAAAAACAAAAAGTTTAGAATAATGAAGTTTTCAAAGAAAGAAAGAATTAGTGAAATTTGGTACTACTCTCTGAAAATAAAGAAAATGAAAAAATAAAATAAATAATGACAAAATTTGCACACAATTTTACTAATAATTGCGCTTTTTATAATATGAAAGAATAACAAATATAATAGTGAAATTTCAGAACAAAGAAATTTACTAAAAAAGAGTGACCAAGTGGCATTGGTATTAAAGAAAATATAAAATGAAATATAAAATTAATCAAGATCAATAGAATGAAGTTTTCTAAGAAAGAAACACTGAATTAGTGGCTTTCGTATTAATCTTTAAGAAGAAAATAAAATAAAATAAATACTAAAACAAAACAAAATAATGAAGTTTTCTAACGAAGAATGAATTAATGGCACTAGTATTACCCTTTAAGAAGAAAGAAAATAAAAAACTAAATCAAATAATGGAACAATTTGCACCGAGTATACAAAAAAATTGTGCTTTTCTCAAATATGCAGAAGTAAACATATAATAGTGAAATTTACGCAAATCTAATTTCCTAATAATGAATGAATAAGAGGCATCGGTGTTACCCTTAAAATAGAATAAAATAATAACTAAAATAAAATCAAAATAATGAAGTTTTATAGAAAAGAGGTAATATCATTGGGAGTCATAGAACTTGTGTTGCATGTTGAGTTTGGTGCTAAAACTTTAAAAATACGGTTTTGTGGTCACTTAACTTGACTCAAGCGTGCACATACGATCACATCACGCCTATGCGAGCGTATTCATGTGCATGGCCCCACTTGTCAGTGAGTGGTTGCAACGGCGCAACGTTTTTTTTACACAAAACACAAAACCCCGAGCACATTTATGCAAACTGTTTTTACAGTTGGTAGTCTAGTCTTAGCCAATACGACCTTCAGGACCTGATGCCTAATACGGGTAAGAAACATGTACGTACAAAATGAGTTCTCACGTGGAGTTTGAATGGCTGTGGGTATTGCGGTCCATTTTGCGTGCCTACTTCTTTTAAGATATTTGTAAAACATATGGAATAAATTTAGGTTCAAATATTTGTGTGTTAAAAAATTATGCATTCAAATGATGATCAGTAAATAAAAACAAGTAAATATAAACCTGTGTATTATATATATAATATATAGTAAAACATAATTAATAAAATATTTAAGATATTTGTGAAACTTAAGTAATAAAATTATATTCAAATATTTATGTGTTAAAAATACTCTCTTTGTCCCAGAATAAGTGTCTCAACTTTATACTAACTTTAGTGCAAAGTTGTACTAAAGTTGAGACACTTATTTTGAGATGGAGGGAGTACTATACATAAAAACAATCATTAGTAAACAAAACCATTTAAATATAAACCTGTGTATTATATAAAATATATTCAGTTAACAGACACTGAAAATGTTTATTAAAAAATATATTTAATGAATCTAAAAACTATATAGACTTGCGGCTTATATTTAAATTATATGAAATGATGAGTACAGACATGAACTAAATATTTATGAACTTCACATGTGTATAATTTTTACTCATGACTTACATTCAAAAAGATTATATAATTTAAATATTAGCCATGATTAAATATTCATATTTTAAATTAGATAAACATCAAACTATAAAAATGTGCATATAAAAAACAATAATTTTAAATTATATATTTAAAGCCAAATATGTAATATGCACATCTACGAAACACACATGTTTATATTATACTTAGGTGTATGAAATATTTACTAAATATTTAATATATAATACACAGGTTTGTATTTAAGAGTTTTTATTATTAATCATTGTGTATATGTATGATATTTTTAACACACAAAAATTTGAACATAATTATTACCTATGATTTACTAAATATTTTTTTATAATACATTGGTTTATATTTAAATATTTTTATTTACTAATCATTGTATGTACAAAAATTTGAACATAACTTTATTACTTAGTTTTACAAATATATTAAAAAATAGTTCGTGCGAAATGGGCCGCATTATCCGCAGCTCCACATGCATCCTAGTTTAGTACATATTGATTTTTTATGTTAATTTTTGCACATATGTGCAGTAGTGTGGTCGGGTTTTCTGTAAACAAAATAATAGTAGGCGGTTTTGTGCAAAAATGTCGTGGTTGTTAACTTTTTCTACGAACAAAAAAGTAGGAGAGTGTTTTGTATAAAAACAAATATGACACACCCAGCGCCACTTACTGGCTAATGGGCCATACACATGGATGCACCCACATACGCGTATTGTGACCGTATCTGCACGCTTTAGTCAAGTTAGGTTACCCCAAATCCATATTTTTGATGTTCTAGCACCAAACCTAGCATGTGATGTAAGTTCTGTGACTCCCGGTGGTATTACCTCTATAAGAAACAATAAATCAGTGGCATTATTCTTACCCTTTAAGAAAAAAGATAAGAAAATAAATTATAAAAAAGCTTGCACAAAACTTTACACCAAAATTGCACCTTTTCACGATATGCAAAGAGTACTCACATAATAGTGCAAATTTTGCAAATATTTTATAGTATATGTGTGTATACATTTATAATCATCCAACATCTCAAAAAATACCTACAAAATAAAAAAACTGACTAGTAAAGAAAAACAAAAGCAAAAACAAATAAAAATAGTAAAATAGAAAGAACAAAGGGAGAGAGGTGAGGTCT